TTCACATATGTACACCTTAAGAGATATCAAGTAGGCGTAACATGTTCTCAAAAAATTAGGGTTGGCACGCAGAAGAATTTAGAGTCAGAGATTTTGCTGGTTTTGGCACGTACTCACAAAAAGGTAGCCCAGCCCAGTCCTATTCCCCAGGAACAAGGGAACTTGGGTCTAAAGAACTAACTATGACCAGTGCCAGGATACATCTAAGGAAGGGCAGCTGTGGGGATGAGAACCAAGGAGACAGAGGTGCAGGGGCGAAGAGAGATGGGTGGGAAGTGGGGAGGGCTGGCGGGGTCCATCTTGCAGTGTCCTGGGAGAGGCTACAGTTTGGCCCTGGCCTGGCATCCCATGAACAGCCTTAAAGTTAGTCTTTAACATGATCTCTACATTGAATTATTTATAGCACCACTGGCTGTGTTGGTAGATGTGTTTATCCTATGTATTTATACGTGTGTTTTATTCCTATTAAGCCACCAGAATGTTAACATTTTCATGCAATAGTCATCTTCTCATTGTCTGATTGTTTATTCTTTGTGGTCATTTGTGTATCAAAAGTAGATTCATGAACTTGACACACTTAACACATGACACCATTTTGGTAACCCTATTTTGACATTTTTTTTCCAAGATGTGAGAGCTTCAAAAATAAAAGTGAACTATGTGTAAGGTGTCGGGTGGGGACTAGACTTATCGGGTGATCACTCTGTAAGGTAGATAAGTGTCTGGGCGCTGTGTTGTGCACCTGAAACTGAGGCCTGGAGAGGGACGGACACTCTGCCTGAAACATGGGGTCACTAAGGGGCAAGGGGAGTGAGACCCTTGTCAGCTCCACTCGGGTAGAGTAGGCCAAGCAAGGAGAGTGTGTCTTATTGGACAACGTGCGGCAAGGAGTGCCACTGACTGCTATTGATTTCTGTGACTCTTGCTGATGAGGAGAGAAGAGAGAGACAGGGCAACAGGGGAATGTCACTGTAGTGGTGAGAGGACAGAGGACGCATAAGGTCAGAGAAAAAGGAGGGAAGGGACAGACTGGAGCGACTTGGAGTAAGGATGGGTGGGGAGTGAGGAGAGAAGAAGCCCATGTTACAGGAGTTGGGTTGCAACCACTCTGGGTTATTATTGCCTTTGGTCGTGCTAAGCTGGTGTAGAAGAGGAACAGATCCGGGAAGAGAGTGTTTGGGGAAACGGATAGACCTGGATTGTGCATGACAAGGTAAAGAAACCAGCGTAACCCAGGAGACACCTTGAAATAGGCCCCTCCTCTTGACCTGCCCCCCTACCATTTCCAGGGCAAATTGTCCCGGGAGCCATCATGTCCTGAGACTACCGGGCCTGTCTGAGGTAGGACAGACCTGCCTCCCCACCTCCTGGGAAGGAACATTCCCATCTCTGCCCCTTGAAGAGGCCCTGGTCACCCCTGTGAACCCCAAAGGTTCACCAGCGACAGTGCCTTTGGGAAGACCGCCCTCTCTGTGCCACTGGACGGAGAGGAAAGGCTCAGTCTCAGCTGCGCAGGGTCCCCACTCTCCATGCTCTGAGCTCTGAGCTCCCCTGTCCACTGTCAGACCTCTGTGCCGAGTCTCACCGTGGAGCTGACGTTCAGAAGAAGAAAGAGGAAAACGTGGAGTCCTCAGAGCAGCGGTTCACAACCTGTGGGTCGCGACCACTTTGGGGTTTGAATGACCCTTCCACAGGGGTTGCCTAAGACCATCAGAAAACACATATATCAGTGGTTCTCAACTAGTGGGTCGTGACCCCTTTGAGGGTCGAACGACCCTTTCACAGGGGTCGCCTAAGACCATCAGAAAACACATATATAATTACATATTGTTT